ATTGAAAAACAAGTTCTGGTCTTTTCCTTTTAAAGGATTCTGTTTCCCAGTGCTTGTCTTGGTTTAAAAAAGAGAGAGAGAACGAAAGAAAAAAAAAAAAAAGCTATCCTGGTGCCATGAATTGGAGGCTGCCTTTTCCCAGTTAGTGGCACAGTATTTATTTTCTAGATGTGTAAGTGAGTAATCAGTCCCCTGGGGGAAAGATAGTATTGAAGAGCAAGTGAATTCCATGGATGAGAGCCACAGAATTTTCCAAAATGATTATAAACTTACGCTCTTAGCTAATAATAGTAAGGGTTTTGTTGGAGGATAAGAATACTGAATTGAATTACACATCTTGGGGGAGAGAAATGCATTTCCATAATTCACTTTGAATTTCAGAGCTTCAGTTTCTATGTTCTGTTATTCTAGTTTTGGGAAAAAAATATAAATTATAAGAATGATTCTGTAGAGAAGGCAGAGTGATCCCTACCTGTGGCCAGAGTGGTGACTTGTTCTCCCACTCTGGGCATTACAAGCCACCCCTGCGATCCTGCTGAAATGTCCCCAGAGACTCACCAGCAACAGGCCGAGCGCCGGGTGCCTCCCAGGGCTCCTGCACCCTTCACTCTGGAGCGGGAGCCCTGCTTCTCTGCGAGGCCAAGGCCGTGACATGCTCATCGAAGGTCCCGTTACTTCAGATCTGGGCCCAAAGGACATGCCAAACAAGGAACAGTGAATTGGACATTCTTCTCAAATCTTTAAAAATTAGACTAAGACAACCCAGAAAACTGTGTCGTTCGTATAGAATGCTGAAGGAGGCGCATGAAGGCAGCCTTGTGGGGCGTGAAGGCAGCGCTGTGAGTAACTGCAGGCGGGTCCCGCCCGCCCTTGTAGCTGACACAGTCTGCTTAGTCCCTCCCTTCCTGGGCTTTGATGTCACCTAAACTTGACTTCATCCCCCTGCATGCGGACATTTTATCTGCGTAAGAAATAATGAATTAGGACATGTGAGTCCTGGGTCCTAGAAAAATTATGACACATAACATTAAACTGCAGATGGAAACTACGGAAGCAATATTCTTGCCTCGATGGTGTTTGAAAATCAGAATGTCATTATTTCAGTAAAGCATTAAAGAAATAATTTGTGGTGCTTCCCTTGACAAAATAGAGAAATGTGCTGTTGTTGGATTGTGTAGCTGATGGAATGCGTTACCCACCCACAGGGGCTGACATAGTTTTGGGGTAGTTCCTAGGGTGCAGTCCCCCCTTCTCCACTTCCTTACCTCTGCCCTCTACAATCAGAAAGCAAGCTTGTCACTTTGAGCTGCCACAGAGCTGGGAGGAGGGACAATAACTAAGGCAGATAATAAAATCAAGGTTCGCTCTTCTGAGGGGAGAAAGAATGACAATACTGCGTTTAACAAACACTCGCACGGAGGCACTGGGAAGCCGCCGGCACAGGCACCTGTTGAGGCTGGCCTGCTGGGCACCGCGAATGGGAGAGGCCCGGCCCACTCTGCGTGGAAAAAACAGGTGAGCTAAATTCATCTAAGACCCAAACTCCAGTGGGGTGGCCAGACTCCCCCACAGTTTGTTCTTGTTATATCACCTCTGGACTGTAGCTTTCCTTTCTGGACACCCAATTGTAAGAGACACAAACTGAGGGATCAGTGAAAGAAAAGGACCAGGATGATATAGCATAAGTAACAGAAAGAAGCAGAAAGGAAAGGCCTTTGGCGTTGGCATGAAAGTTGTCTTCATATAGTCAAGACAATGTTCAGACCAATCTGGAGAGAAGTGTGCTTTATAAAAGCCAAGGATCCACAGGAACACAGCAGGCTCTGAATATACATCCTTTGTATTTTCTTCACCAGGGGGCCAGCATTCTGGGTGGCCAGGCCTGTCCACCGGGACCGTGTCCTCTGAGAGGCACCCCCCAGCCCTGCCCGTCTTGCCGGCTCTCCATGGGCTGCTGTGAAGCTTGCAGAGGCTTTATCATATTAAGCACTTGGATACTGATGCATATCATGTCAGCTCTGATTTTTGGAAAAAATGGAAATGGTTTTAAATATTAAATATGCTTTTGAAATTATTTGAAAAGCTTGTTTACAAGTTAAGTTGATATGTTGATGGTTGACATTTAATTCTTATTAAGTTTGTGCTTAGGTTGTGATGTGTATGTATGTACATGATTACTGTGTGCATGGCAGTATAAACACAGTGGATCCCAGGTCCAGGCGTGGTGCTCCTGATGACAGGGATCAAGTACCCCGTCTGCCTCGGTGTCTGTTACGTAGCAAGCACTCTGCAGACATTTGGTGGATCTATTAAAATGTACCAATTTATCCAATAGGAAACAAAAATTCCTAGTTCGTGTCTCTGCTGAAAGCTTGAGACGGGAGGGCAGCAGCCGCCCTTGAGTTTCTAGGGCTCCCACTTGCCAAGAAAAGGTACACCCTCATTTGGCTGCTAGTTGCAGGCGTGACTGTCCGGGCACAGGGACATCAGCTGTTACTGGCAGGACGCGCACTGCAACCCCAGCAGCGGGCTCCCGTTTTGTCCAGGACCCAGCCACTGCTCATCTCAAAAGCGGGGCGCTAAGTCTACTGAAGGGACGGATGGTGGCCGCCTGGTAGGGAGGGGTGTCTTTTTGCAGGTCTTTTGGGGAAAAAGGGCAACAGATTAAGCAGTGGATCAAAATATAAGTGAAAGACTTGCCCATTAAGTTAAAAAGCAAAAAAGAACTGAACTAAAATAAAAATAGCTACAACCCAGAGATCAAGGGGTCTATTTTGTCCAAGGAAAGAATGGAAGTGGCCTGCTCACACTCCGCCAGGCCGCTGGCTTCAAGTGCATCTTTGTGCAGACAGCCGGGGTCTGAAAGGCGCCATTATTGAGAAGCCACTGCCGACGCGGTGGCCGCAGCATGGCAGAGCCGCCGCCTTTGGGGACGGCCTCCTGCGAGTCCTGGGTTAATTGCTCAGCTCTCCAAACTTGCCATCAGCAAACAAGTGCAGCCTGCAGACTCAAAAGCATATCTGTAGCTGAGATTATGGAAAGGGAGTGGGTTCCTTTCCATCTAAAAAAGAAATGGTTATTTCTATTGTAGGAACCACAAGAAGGAAAAGGGGGGAAAAAAACACAGAAAACCCTGCCAGGGACCCAGCAGGCAGCGGACGGCTGGCAGCCGGACAGCCGCGGGGAAACAGAATCTGCTCCTATCGATGCCCACAGGGCATTTTTCTCCAAGTTCCCAGAACAGGTCGCCCAAATCCCACTGACTGGGAAGAGTGGGAGAAGCAGAAATGGAGACACCCCAAAGCTTTTTGCTGCCAAAGCTTATTTTCACAGGGTGCCATTCTCACAGGACCAAACGTGCTAGCGGAAGCCACCTCCAGCTGCTGAAAATAAAAAAGCTGCTTGAAAACGAGTTCTCCTGCCTTGTGTCCACAGGTTCATTCCCTGACCCTACTTCCTCTTTGAGGAAGTTAGCTCGTTTGAACGTGATTTGGTTTTTTCGAGGATCACCACCACCACCACCACCAAAACCTTTCTCTCTTTTTTCTGTTTTTATCCTGCTTTCCTCCCCATCAGTCATCAGTCGTGGCTGTTAGAGGATCCCAGAACTTCCTAAGAGAAGTATTTCTCAAACAGAGGTAGGTCCCCATTATAAGAAAATTTAAACTGTTTTAATTCGGTGTTTTCAGTCATGACCACATTTTGATCAGTTGGAAGGATGAAACCCCTGTCTAGCGCGTTAATTTGCATGGCGGCAATGGAAGAAGGCGTCAGCTGTGTAAGTCGGCGTTTCTCAGACTACAGATGTGTGCTCAGGGATAGGAGAAAGTTGTGTTCTATTTGAGAAAATGAGCTCCACAGACATCAATATCGCTTTTAAAACAGTGGGCCTTGTGACAGCGGGGAACTGTCACCCGCCGCGCCACTCTTTGACACCGTGTCTCTGAGTGCGGACTCGGACTGATGTGTAGCTTGTAGATGAACAGCCCATTTTATAAGAACCCTAGGACCTGCCTTCAGAAGAAACAGACCCCGACCTTCGGCATCCCAGCTCCGGAGGATTTGCTGGCCTTCAACCATGAAGCCAGGCTGATGTCCATCCAGGATGACGAAACCAGGATGACGCGCACAGGACCACCGCTCGCCTTATCGGAATGGACTGTGCTCATCTGCACGTGGAGGACTTTGCAACCCCCTCCCTTGATCTCATTGTTCTGTCCCCTCTCCCTGCTTCAAAAAACCTCTACCTCGACTGAGAGGGGGAGATGGGCTTTGAGACGTGAGTCCCCGTCTTCTAGGAGCCTGGCATCTGAACAAACCGCTTTCCTTTATGTCAGCCCCTGCCTCTCAAGTGCTGGCGTTTGTAGCAGCAGGCAGCCAGACCTGCATTTCGGTTACCCTTTCAAAGCCAGCTGATGCTCCGTCTCCCCAACGTATGCCTGTTACTCCTGAAGCAGGTGAACCAGGTTACTTGCAAGGACCTCAGGTATGATGTAAGAACTCCTAAAATCAGACCTAGAAATGTCTGCTCAATTCCAGGTTGAATAAAATAGATAAAGTGCTAGAATGATGTCTGGCACGGAGTATTAATGTTCTAAAAAATTTTTTATTTTTATTTATTGTATCTTTTTCCATCACCATTTACCCCCCTATACTCTCTTCCATCCATCTCTGCCCACCCTCTCCCCCGCACAATCACCACACTGTTGTCTGGAATATTAATCTTAATACATTTCCGCGTGCAAAGCATACCCGGTGCTCTGTGCTCCGCACTCACGTGGCTTAGAGAACCCCAGTGATGCACGGGGTGGGGTGTGCACGGCTGGCCAGGTGCTGAGAACAGCAGTGACCGCCTGTCAATTTCTCCAAGACAGTTGGGGCCAATGACCAATGAACTCACAGTATTTTTTCCTTAAAAAAAAAAAACAAACTGGTAAAATACGCATAAAATTTCCCATTTAACTTTTCTACCCGCCCGCCCCCCCGCCCCCGCTGCTCCCACATGTGAGAAGGTTGATCTTGAGCCTGCCGGAAGCACGCTGCTTCTCCAAGGCTTCTCCAAGTCCACTTCCCTGCCTTCACTTCTGCCGTGTCTGAGGACAGAACCACAGACATGCCTTTGTAGGAGGGTCCATGTGACCATTTTGAAGTGTACTGTTTAGTAGCATTAAAATACAGTCACATCTTGTGCAATCATCAGCACCATCCACCTCCAGAACATTTTTCATCTTCCCAAAGTAAAAACTTCATCGCCACAGCACCCCAGGTCCTCCCCTAGACTTTCTGTCTCCACGACACCAACTCCTCTGTCGCAGTCCTTGTTGAATGACACTCTGGTTTTTAAGCCAGGGCAACCAGGAAAAACCATATGGCCCTCTCGCGTGATCATCTACACGCGTGGGACTTGCCCAAACCCCAGTTCTTGGGTGCAGTTCATCGGCACACCTGAAATGTGTCACCGCTGTTGCCTCCTGAATTCTTGCAGTGACCTGGCCAGAGGGACTGCCGCGTTTACAAGGCCGCACTGACTCTAGGGGACCTGCCCAGGAAGCACTCCTTTCACCAAGACTGAATGGAGTGGCTTTTCCTTAAGCTTAGGGCAGCTATTTACAACTGTCCTGCGCTGGAAGCCCCAGGTTATATCGAGTCGCAGCTCAATAAGGGTGGATAAGAGACCCAGTCACCTTTTCTTGCTGGGTTTCACGGGGTTCCTCTTGGCCCCTGAAAAGCTGAGGAGGGAGCAGAACAGCACTACCGCGTGCTTTGTTTCGGAGCTGGGCTGTTGGATGGGGTGATCCTTGCTGGTGGACAGGCTGAGAGCATGTGGCCGCTGTCTCTACCGGTACTTAGGTGTCAGTAGAGCGGCAGCAGGGACAGCAGGGTTTCACGTACTTACTCTTGGATTATGGAAGGTCACCCTGTTCTATGCGAAATTCTGGTTTGATGAGACAGGATGTTATAAAAGTCCTCATCATAGGCAAGATACTCGAGATGCAAACCAAGAGGGGAAAAGCTCGTACTATCATTAGTGGAAAACGAAGGCACACAATTTTCTTACTCTTCAGGGGTTTTCAGCACTTTTTACACGTGCTTGAATGAACACCCCTGCAAAGACCCCTGCTTACTCTCCCCTGTGCCACATTGCTTCCCTGCATCCATTCTGTGTGTGTGCGCGCGCGTGCGTGTGTTTGTGTAAGGCTGATGATTTTTTTTAAATTTTTGAACTTACTGGGTTACATTGGTCAATTAAATAAGTTTCAAGTGTGCAATTCTGTAATATATCATCTGTACGTTGTCTTCGTTTGTTCTGATGGACAAGGAGAGTGGTCGTCAGACTCGGTCAGCGGGGAGAGGGGGGCAGTAAAAGCTTCAGAGAGAAACTGAACAAAGAAGGGAAATGAAACAGAGCCGTGTGCTTTTCCTTTTTCCCCATGTACTTTATAAATAATACGCCACCTCATAGGGGAATAAGCGTACTTTTAGATAAATAAAATGAGCCCAAAACCTTGTACATTAAGACATAAAATTTATTTAGTTATATAAAGCTTTGCACCCATGTAAGATATTTAACTTAATCCTAACTTTGCTTTGAAAGCGATAGATGACAATCTGCAGACCTGTTTCTAAGCTAAGCTTGGCACTAACTTTATGATCTTAGCCAAGTCCAACAGCCTCTTTGAGCTGCTTCTGCGTGCACAGAAAAAAGTGACGGTCCTCTCTCTGCTTTGCATTAACACGATGCTACTTCACATACAAGAATTTACAACAGCAAGTGTACCTCTATTTGTTCCTTCCCATTGTTACTGTGTCACGTTTTACTTCAGCCTGCAGGGTGGGGCAGAAGTAGGGTTACAGTAAGTAGGCGAAACACAGAGTTTATTCTTGTATTTTTTATTACTGTATCATTTTTCATATGGACAACTATAAACCTACTTTTGCCCCACACTATATTTTATAAACCCTTCACTACAGTTTTATAAATTTGCTTTAAAAATGGCCAATTATCTTTCAAATAATTAAGAAAAGCGAGAAACCCAACATTGTTTATATTTACTCACATAATCGTCGTTTCTGGCACTTTTCATTCCTTCTGTAGACCAGAATTTATATTTGGTATCTTTTGCCTTCACCCTTAAGACATTTCTTTTAGTATTTTTTTATAGTTCGAACATGCTGTGACAAATTATCTCTGATTTCATTTATCTGCAAATATCTTGAATCTCACCCTCATGTTTGAACAATATATTCACTGGATATGAAATTCTGGGCTGACAGGTTTTGTTTTATTTTTTTCTTTTCAGCACTTTAAAGATATTTTTCATTATATTCATTGAATTGCATTGTTTTTAGTGAAAAGTTAATGGTCATTTACATTGATTTCACTCTGCGTTTAATGTGTCCTTTTCTTCCTGAATGCTTCCTAAATTTTCTATCTTTGGTTTTCAGAAATTTTACCGTAATATGCCTAGGCATGGTTTTCTTTCCATAATCCTGCTAGAGAGTTAGTGAGTTTCTTGGATTCCATTCTCAGATTTGTGGGTTGGTAAGTTTCAAAATTTTTGCCATTATTTCTTCAATTTCTTTTTCTCAATTCTTTGTCTCTGCTCTTGCTGGGACTCCAATTGTTTATATATTAGATTTTGTGACATTGTCCCAGAGGTTATTGACATTCTTCTTTTTTCCAATGTTTTGCTTTCATTTTTACTTTTAATAATTTCTGTTAACCATCTTTCAATTTTACTGATCCTTTCCTGGGCAGTTTCTCATTTAGTGTTAATTTTATTCAGTGATTTTTAACTTTCAAGGATTGTAGTGTTTTGGCTGTAGAATTCCTTTTGGTTCTTTTTTAGAGTGTTAATTTTTGTCCATCTCTTTATGTAACATGATCACCTTTTTCAGTAAAGGATTTAATATATTTGTAATAGTTCTTTTAAAGTCCTTGTATGATTATTCTGATAAGTCACCTGCAAAACTCCTTCTAATGACTGCTTTTTTTCTTAAATGTGGGTTATATATTTTTTTGCTTTCTTGCATGTAATATAATTTTGGAAATTGATTTGTGGACATTGTATATGAATACCAAGGTGTAACTGCTTTATTTCCCAGAGTGGACACCTTTCCTCTCTCTGGTGTTTAGGAGGAGGAGTTGCTAACTCGGATTTCCTCTTGTGTTGCGTTGTGCTTGGGTTGGATCACAGCACTACCTTGTCGGGTTCACCTGGGTGTAGCCCAACCTCCTCATCGCAAGTTGATGATGTTTGGCTTTGTCAGTAGCCGAGCTGGGTGAGGAGTGGCTGAAGTTTCAGGTGTGTCTTGTTTGCCTTTGGATTAAACTGACAGGGCCCTAGAATTTGCAGAGTTGTGTGGCTTCTCTCTGCTTCTCAGTCACCCCGCCCCACCCCCCCAGGCTCGTCTTCTCCCAGGCCGCGTGGAGAGCTCTGGGGTCGGTACAGGACAGCGTGGCGGATCCAAGGGTTCTGCCCCTGCCTTGGGGGCCCTTCCAGACACCGGCCCTTCCAGCCAGACCGTGTTATCCCACAGGCTTGGCCGAGTTCCCTCCATCCCTGAAAAGCATCCTCATCTGTACCGATTTCTGTCCGTGCCCAGACCAGGTGCAGGCCCCACATGGGGCAGCCGTCCCAGCTGCCCACAAATGATGAAAAGCTTACTTTTCTTGGAATTAAGTTCATCAGGGCTTCATTGTATCCTTTTTTCTTCCCCTGCCCTGTAGAGAAGTGTAATTTTTACTTTGTCTGGGGCTTTTGTTGTTAGCAAAGGAGCGACCGCCTTTAGCACTTTTCTGTGTCCTGACTAGAAACAGAAGCCTCAGAGGAAGTAGACTGTCCCTGAAACAGATGGCTCTGCGCTGGGGCACCCGTGGGGGACCCAGGTGACTGAGAGGCAGTCGTTCAGGAGGGCCCGCGGCTCCCGGCAGGGCCCGCTCTGTCTGTGCGCAGAGTGGAGGGTTAACACCGGCCTGCTCCTGTCGGGTTGGCATCTCTGGCCAAAGCCACTCCTGTGTCTTGCCATATTTTCCCTTCACCTAGTCACTCTCTGATTTTCAAAGCAGGATGATTCACGGTCATTGTGCAGGTTCGTTCAGCTGAGGCCGAGGGGAAGCTGCAGGGCTGCTCTCACTCTGTGAGAAGCAGACGGTGAGCCCTGCCGGGGGGCGCAGCCTGTCGGAACATCGTCCTGTACACCCAAAGGTTGTGGGTTCAGTCCCCGGTCCAGGTATGTGTGGGAGGCAACCAGTCAATGTTTCTCTTTCTCTGTGTCCCTCTCTGAAATCAATAAGCAAATCTTCAGATGAGGGAAAACAAAAAACAAAGACCGTTTTTTGCTGTGGTGGAAAAACAGTAAACGTCTGCTTCTCAGAGCTACTGACCCTGGTCCTGAAGCCGCCCTGAGCGTGTCTCCCGCGGTGCCTCTAGGCCTGTCTCCCGGGTTCCACTATAGGGGTTTGCATGGGATGACCTCTCAATGCCCTTCAGTCCCAAATGACAGCCACGGGCAGCGCGAGGCTCTGCTAAACCACAGCTGCCCGACCCCTCGGAGTCTTCTCACTAAGTTTCCCGGTTTAGAATTCATTGGACAAATATGTTTCCCATTTATGGAAATAAATCCCAACCATGCTGGTTGTTTATTTTTGCAAATGTCAAAAATCACAGACTTGAGAACGGAGAATAAATTTGAAGCCTGTTTGGTTCGTGAACAAGCTAGCACTCAGGTAGTTGCATAACCAGAACCACCCCCTGGTCCCAGACCCACCTGCTGGTCCCAGCGTGCTTCCGTGGAAATGAACTTCAGCCGAACCCAGGGCCGCCTGGACTTTCGGTTCACATTCGGCTAAGGGGCCCTTTGTTACGCGGGCTTCGGGCTGATGAGGCCAGCAAGAGCAGGCAGACTCAGGCTCAGTCAGTCTGACTGGCGAATAGTGCCCCGGGGGTGTCTGAAGGCGGACTTTGTGTCACCGCAGTGCCCTGAATGACCAGGGACCACCTTTAAGGCTAAAACCTAGAGAGGGGGACGTAAGGCATTTTAAAAATTCATGAAATAGAATTCTGTTCACTTTGTTTGTAAATTAGGTTCTTTACTCATCTTACCTGTCTTATTCTTCCTTGCATCCT